AGGATGCAATGGTGATTGTTTAAGGTCCCTAGGCTGAAGTTCTTTTAACTGGACTGAGATAAACAGCACAATCAGAATTAGAGTCCCTTGACAAATAGTTTCAGGATCCACATTCTACGAATGTCTGATAAACTTCAGTTGTTACAACAGCCAAAGTTTCAGACTGACCTCTGGCCACTTCCAGGCTCTTTGAAAGGAGGGACTGAATGATCAAAGGATGTCAGCAGACAGTTTGTACAAAAAGAAACCAAATATTAGGGACTGTGTTTTTTTGAGGGGGGGTTTCAATCTCCCTAGTACACAAAGAACATTAAATTAAAATGAACACAGAAGTGCCATGTCCCACCTATTCAGTCAGATAAAATGATAAAATTGAATAATGCCAGGCTGTGGTTTGTATAAACTCATACATTTATACATTGTTTTTTTTAATTCAGCGGACATTGTTACAATGTCTTTGGTGGTCAGTCTGATAGCAGGTGATAAAGACCATGGAATGATCAGAAACTAAAACAAATAAATGTCTGGTCCGTTTGGAACTCCCGCTGATGTGTAGTATTTGGAGTAAGCACAATTATCTTTTTTTATATTACTCTGCCATTCTCTCAAGATTTATTTAGGAATTCATCTTTTTGCCCACTGATTTGGTATGCTGCCTTGATCATATTCTAAATTTCCATATAAAATTGGGTCTATTCATGTGTCAGTATCAAATTGTTTTAATTACAGAGGCTTTAGAGCATGTTATGTCTGATGGGGCTGGCAGCTTTATCCTCCCCTAGCCCCACTTTTTGGGGAACTTTTTTGCTTTTGTTTTCCAGGATTTTCCCAGCCATTTTGTATTTGTTTTCTATGAACTTATCATTTCAAGCCAGTTTGCATATCAAATATCAGAGCTTCTCTCTTAACTTGCTACATGGACATTTCTAGCTGGCACATTTTCAGAGGTCCACAAAGGGGAATTGCCTCCTGAGTCGATGGCACGGATATAACTGTCCCATTTGAGGCAGTGGGAGAGGCGGGGTTCTACTGGGCTCACTCTCCTCAGGGAGTGAGTGACTCAGGTTTCTTGCAGTCCCTTGTTCCTCCCAAGCTAATCATCAGTGAGTTCCCCACCTGTGCTGCTTTCTCTGCGTGTTTCGTCAAAGGTTTGCATCATCGTCCCCTTTCTCCCTGCTTTTGTTCAGCCTTTGGCTATAAAACTCTGCATTTTCTCAGAATTTCATTCCAGAAATTAATTGTCATCCTTGGAGCTCCTAAATTATTTCCTGAGGCACCAGATACAATTAATGTTTCCAACTGTACAATTGAAAAGAGGCTTTGGATGGAATCTCGTTGTAGCTCTCCATCCATCCAAAGCAGCACAATTGACCTAAGAGACTCAGCTGCGAAAGCATCATTATAATGGGTGAGTGAGTTCAGTTAGGCCACTAAATGAATATATAAAAACCCAGTCATTTTCATGTAGAAGCAATTAGAAAATGTAATGGGAACACAAATTCCGTCACAGAGGCAAAATGAGTAAATATAAAATGCCTAGAAATTAACAAGACCATATAACTTAAATGAAGGGGAAAACACTGCAAAACTCCACAGAAAGGCCCAAATAAACATTAGTTTTAAACACTAGACCACATCGTGCTTGTAGTTAGGATGGCCCTGTGTGGCCCAGATGAGCCCAAGTGTCCCAGATTTATGGGTGCAGTTGTTTCTTGATATGTGAGTAAAATGGCTCTCATCCATGCCTCATGGAAAGTCTAACAGTTTCTTGAAGACCTCAAAAAAACTTCCAGAGAAGAGTGAGGAGCTTAGGTTTCCCCGTGACCAATTTAAACTACAACTCTCTCTGCTGTCCTGTTGCCTGATCACTCCTTCATTCATTCATTCATTTCCTTGTGCACTGTACATGTATTGAATACTTACCACGTCCTCAGCCCTCCATAGATGTCTGCTACCACTGCTTATGGCTCCAGTGCATCCCACCTCTGTTCCCGGTCACCCTTGTCTTGGGTCATAGCGCCTTCTCTTTTACTGCCCAGCTGAGCACCATCCATACAGGGCTATTTTGTACAAGACATTTGCTGAGGTTTTGAGGATACTAGTGTTGGATAAGCATTGTGGGGGAGAAGGAAGAAAGATGTGACATATAAATACAAAAAGCATAAAAAAGAAGTGATGCAAAATTAAATATCATACACCTGAAAGTTGGGGTCATCTCCCATGGAGAATTTCTCGCTTGACCCTTTATTCGTAGCTCCCACCTGCTGCTGTCTTTTGGAATTGCCTCTTTTTTTCTGTCTCTTTACATCTTTGGTTTATCATCTCAGCCTTCCTGATTTCTGGATTGCTTAACCGCTCATTCTTGGCCTTTGGGAACTCAACTCTCCTATTTATTTTATAGTGGAGAGGAATTTGACTATTCTTTCTCTCCCTGTTCCTCACCCAGATGACACTGTGAGAGAAACGGCTTCAGTTTTCCCAAACAAGTCATTCTGCTCCACAAAAAGAGCGCTTCTCACCCTCTGAGAAGAATTCTTCTGATCTCTAGAGCTACAGCCTAAACTATCATCTATTTTTCTCCTTACCACACTTGGATTTTGAAAAGATCAGGTCTCTCCAAAGTTAATAAAGCAAGTAGATTATTCTAACTATGATCTGAATGATTATTTTTCTGGAATTTAGTTAAACGATTTTGAACTTAATTTGGAGGGTTCAACAAGTTCAAAGAACTAGGCAAATCTTTAAAAGAAGAGTAAAAACCAAGGGCATTCTAGACCAATTTAAGCAACACTTATTGTTATAGCAGAAGAACGAGCAAACAAAGAAGTAAAGCATGATACAAAGTCCAGAAAATAAGTAAAAAATGTACAAGAATAAAGCACAGGCAACTATTTATGTAATCTTGGACTGAGGATGGCCTTTCTAACCATAGTAGTGTATGCATATGTCATTCTTAAATAAATAAACAAACAAACAGGATGCTTTACAGCATGAATGAACCTTTAAAACATTATGTTAAGTGAAAGAGCCAGAAACGACAGGCCATGCATTGTATGATTCGATTTATGTGAAATGCACAGAATAGGCAAATCTATAGTAGATTAGTGGTTGCCAGGGAATGGAGGAAGGGAAAGATGGGAAATGACTGCTAATGAACGTGGGAATTTCTTCTTACAGTGATGAGAATATATTGGAATTAGGTACTGGTGATGGTCGCACAACTTCTGAATACACTGACAACTGAATTGTATACTTTAAGGCTGACTTTTAGGATACATGAATTATAGCTCAGTTAAATTTTTTAAAGACAAATCAATTCTTACTTGGGGTATCATGAAAAAAAATTCCAACATGTCAGTAGAGAATGGTTAAAGACTGTGTTAAGGAAAACAGTATTCAACCTTGAGAGTAAAATTGAAATGAAGGAATGAATTTTTTAAAAGTATTCAATGACACTTGTTAAAGATGGTCAGGCAGACTTTATTCTGAACCATCAGAATAGCAGAGGGATTACTACAATGGGATTTTACCGTGGGAGACAGAGATTGGACTCAAACCCTCATATGGCACGGGCAAGTGAAAGTTTAGCAAGGAATAGGGTTGGAGATCATTGGATGGAAAATTACTAAGAAGAAATACCAAGGCATTCTGGCTAATCTGACCCATCAGGATTCTCACTGAAGACAGGCCAGGGTCATCATCCCCTGTGCAAGGTGGGGGATGAGGGCCCTGATCATATATTGAGGGCGATTAGAGTTTGAGCATGGCGTGGGTAGCAATTCCGGTGATGCCAACTTAGCAGGGTTCTTGCTAAAACTGGGTTTGACAAGGACATGCATGGAAGGGCCTAAGAAGGCGGCTCCGGGGCCTGACTGAAGAATCTTTGTCAAATGTGAGTTTACAATATTTTAAAGACAAATGACTCATAAACACATAAAATGCAAACTAAAGCCATCAGACAGAACATTTGCCCACTTACTTGGCAAAGAGGGAAAGAAATTATAAATCTTCATCATTGGGTAGGTTGTAGTCCAATAAATATCCTCATGTACCGGTATTGATGAAAGTCTGCTTGGCAATATGGTTCAAAAGCCATAAATTGTGTCCTTGCATTTCCATTTCTAGGAATTTAACTAAATACTGTGTGCCGTTTAAAGTTAACACAATACAAGATGTTTCTGCTACTATGGAGAAGAATTAGAATGTATAATGCATAAAATGAGACAGGCCACTAGAAATGTATACTTGAAGGCTAGAGAAATAGATCATTTGTATTTTCTTATATATTCTTATCTATATTTTCTGTTTAGCTATATTTTTCCAAATATTCTGTATTAGAGGTATGTTTTATAACAGAGAGTGATAGAAAAGTTTAATGCAATACAATTTCAAGTGTGGTGAAGTTGTTTGGGTTGTTTAGCACCATAGTAGAAATGAGATTAGAAATTTCTTATCTCTCTTGTTTTAAAATCAGAGATTCAGGAGAGGATGATTGGAAGCCTCAAAAGTTCCAAAGCCAGATTCTTACTCTCTAGTTACCCAAATAAGTTTCCTTCAGTGGTATGCATATTTCAGGATTTGGCCAATTTGATTAACTGGTAACTTTTATAGCATATACTGTTGTAAATTATACTGTGGTGTAGCCATTTGAAGAGTTTTCCTTTTCAGCCCTGGCTAGTGTGGCTCAGTGGATTGAGTGCTGGCCTGTGAGCTAAAGGGTTGCTGGTTCAAATCCCAGTGAGGCCACATGCCTGGGTTGTGGGCCAGGTCCCCAGTAGGGGGTACACAAGAGGCAACCACACATTGATGTTTCTCTCCCTCTCTTCCTTCCTTCCCCTCTCAAATAAATAAATAAAATCTTAAAAAAGAAAATAATTTTTCTTTTCAGAGTCAGGTGCTTTTGCCTTTACAACTAGTATCATGTTAAGTGGAGTTCTTCTTGATTATCGACTTGAATTATATTCCCCACATGTAACAATTTTCTTCTCCCAATTCCCTAGACAGAATCATGAATAAACTGGAGGACAAGAAGGACCAGATGATACCATGAAGAGAAGTTTACAGGCCCTCTATTGCCAACTGTTAAGTAAGTTATTACCACATTTCTTCTGTCCTGGAACGTACCAGTGTCACACCGTGTTTGTCCACTGCCAGAGACTCACCCACTTTCTGGAGGAAGACCAGGGTTGGTCATTGAGAGAGGACAGTAAATTTTCCCTCTGCATCATCTAGGTGCCTGAAGTATCAAGCATTTAGTTATTCTGTTGCCTTGGGTATCAGTTATAATGTAGACTCTGTTGTAATTCTAAATTGGCATGTTGCCTATAGTTAATTCAAGAAGGAGTGTCAGACACCTTGTTGCTCTGGTTTGTGTGGTAAACAGTGTTCCAGGATGATCCTCTGTAACTCTCACAGGGAGAGGGAGTGGTAGGTTGTGCGTTCTGTGCATTTTGTGTCAGAGCTGTTACCATTCAGTGTTTGTTCAGCCTTTGGCTTGGAATAGTTTGCATAGTGATGCTTGTTCTTAAATAATGAGAGTGGAAAATGTAATTTCTTTAAATTTGGTGATAGAATGAAGAGTGTTCAGTTGGGACTTGCTGCATGTTACTCATGAGTTTTGTGGATTGTGATGCAAAATGCCAGTTGCCACTTAGTGCTTGTATGGCCTTTGAGACTGGCATCCTTAATGAATGAATATAAACACCAATCCCAGTAGGCAGTTTTGATGTTGGGATTGACCCACTCGGGACAACAGGCATTTCCCATTCCAGGTCATACAAAAGCCGTCGAGTTAGGAAAATTTAGAATTGAATGTGTTTGTCAGGTTCTTGCCAAGGTAAATAGAGGACCTCTCTTTCCTGGGCTGAATGGCTCCTTATTAACTTTTGCCAAGAATTTAGCATGAAGGAGGTTGAGGTGCAAATCACCAGTCAGCCCTTAGAATTAGCCATTCAAGTTATGTTGCACCCCCAGTTCTCGGCACTTTATCTACAGACAGCATTCTGGTTGGTATTTTAATTGACTCGTTGCTGCTACTGAATTATGATCCCTCAAACGCGGACTGCATCAGCCTACTTCAGTCTGGTGGAGCGTCGCCAGGAGTTATAGCAACTTTCATGTTTGTTTCCATGTTTTCTCTAGGACTGTGAGTTGTTGCTTCTTTTAAAAAATGATAAGCTTTCTTGTTAAAGAAAAGGCTTTACAGATTGAAAAAGCAAGGTCGTCAAAAAATGATTAACTCTGCCTTGATGGGTGAGGGGACATTTGAAGGTTAAATAAGATTACACACACACACACACACACACACACACACACACACACACCACCACCCCACCCCCCAGGAGGACAGGCAGGCTTTGCAGATGAACCAGGAAATGAAAAAGAGCATCGTCGATTTGGGAGGCAGCAAAATGTTTGAGTTCACCATGCTGATTACACGGCCCAGAGTTTACATAATATTATTTAAAAGGCATCAGGTAAGTCGTGTCCTATGTTTCAGAGCCAAGTCTTATCCTCCAAGGCCCTTCCAAAGTGGAGCATAAGTGAAAGCTAAAGGGGTTTTCCTCAAAGATTTTCCAGATAATCTACTGCAGAAATCTACTTTGTCCTAACACCTTCGTGGCAAGCTTGCCAGAGTAAGTAGTTTCCTACTGGTTAGGAGAAAGGTGGGTAGTGGCCTTCAATAAACCACTCTGATTGCTAGATAGCCGGTCGTGGGCTGGAGCCCAGCTTTGTACAGAACTGGGAGGGTGGAACACTTGGGCACTGGATTCAGTGAGCCTGGCTTCAGAGCATGGTTTTCACAAGTTCGTTAAGATGAAGGAGTGTTATTTGTAGCATTATTTTTCCTGTGGGAGGCACTGGATGTTTAGAAAAATTCTAAAGAACTTAAACTCTGGCATGCATAGCCTCCCCCACACACACACACATAGTAGCTCATACATGTCACTGGTCAGCCAATTAATAAGTTATGCTTGGATTAATATTGTCCACAAAGAAAATGGTTTTCAGTGTCTACAGTGTGGTGGTTGCTGGGGTGTAAGGGGACTAAATGGTAATGGGGAAAAAACACAATAAAGATTAAGTAAAAAAGGAAAAAATAAAATAGACTTGAGAACTATAGAATCAACATAAACTTAATATGTGACAGTATAATTCAGCAAACTGATGTTTTTAATTTTCAGGGGGAAAATCCTGATAAGAGTGTTTTGTTTCTCTTTTGTTACATAACAAACTACCTCAAAACATTGCAGCTTAAAGTAAAAAGAGTCATTTATTTTGCTCATGAATCTGCAGCTTGGGCAGGGGTTGGCAGAGCTGCCGGTGTCTGGGGTCTGGGCTGGAATAACTCCAACAGCTGGGGCTGGAATAACTCCAACAGCTGGAACAGGAGCAGCTGAGGTTGGAGCAGCTGGGGCTGGCCCAGCATCTCTTTTTCCCTGAGGCCCTTTCACAGGAGGCAGTGGGGCTTCAGCAGGGTGGCCTCAGGGTGCTCAGACTTCTGCAGGGTGGCTCATGGCTATGAGGCCAGGGCAAACCTATAAGGCTTCTTATGAACTCCGTGTAGAAATCCCAGAACAGCACTTCAGTCACATTGTGTTGGCCAAGGAAGTCACTAAGACCAACCCTGATTCAAGGGGAGCAGGCTTGGACCCCATCTCTCAAAGGGAAAAAGTAGTAAGAATTTGTAGTCATCTTTGGTCTACCACAGAGAGTGTCTGTTAAAAACAAACAGGCAAACAATAACTAGTACATGAGTCATTATAACCATCAGAGAATCTACTCCCTCTTGAACGCCTACTGTGTTCACAGGCATCTGCGGATCATCTCACCTGCATCATCTCATTTGTTTTAGAGGGGTACTTGTTTCAAGATGAAGAAGTGTTTCCAATGAGTAAGTTAAGGACTGGCCCACGGTGACCAGGTAGTGAGTGATGGAGCTGGGATTCACACCCAGGTCTTTCTGACCTGCTTGTTCATGCCCAATTTTTCATCCTGCCTGGCACCTCCACCACACATAGGAGAAATCATCAGCATGGCCCCTTTGCCATGTCTATGGCTTTGCCTCTGTCTATGGCTAGACAGAGCTGGGTCTAGCCTATGATCGGTAAAGTGTACATCTTATTAGTTACGGCAGATGCGGCTAAAACAAAACAAAAAACCCAAGCTCTCTCTGGATCACTGAATCCCAATCAGCAGTCATTGGGGCTTGTGCGTGTGCCTGATAGGGGCTGAGGGATGCAATCTTTGGCAGGCAGGGCAATTGAGGTTTTAATATTTTACTTTTATTACAACTGACAGACTCTGCCTTTGTTTTAGCTCTTGGGCTGCATTCCACAGTGCAGGGCTGACTGTTTCATCCTGCCAGCTGTAGCCCTTTGGGAAGGTTTAGCACATTTTATATCATAGTTTAGAGCAACCGAAAACTTGAGGATGAGGGTAATGATGAGAGCCTTCATGGTCATGTAAAAGCCAAATGCTGCTTTCATTTTTCTTTTGTAGAACTAAGTAATAAAGTAGATGTGAAGCTAGTGCTAAGGATACCTGGGTTTTTGAGCAGCACACCAGGGTTTAAATCCTAGCCCTACCACTTGGTAGGTAGCTCATGTTAGCTAAGTTCCTCCACCTCATGTGCCTCATATGTCAAATGGGATATGACCACCCACTGCATAAGATGGTACTGGGTGAGATAACATGGCATAGAGAAGACCTCCAGTCAATGCCAGTTCCTTTGTCGGGCCTTCTGTCTGGAAGAGAGGGCTCCCACCTAACCAGGAGCTCCACTATAACTAACTTTTGCGTGGGACTTTTGGTTCACCAGACGTTTTAATAGGATTTGATCCTCATACTTTACAAGGCAAGTGGGACATTAATTATCATCGATCCCCTTCTATAAAAGGAGGAAGGTGACATAATTGAGGCTGCCTTTCTCAGGCCATGTCACAACTTTTTTTAAAAGTACTAATGGAAAGTAAGGAGTATCATCACAAATCTTTAAGAACATGACCTGCTGGGAAGGCACTGAGTCCCACATTAGCTGACTTGGTCTTTGCCTGGGTGCTGTGTACTGGAAATTCTTTGTGTTGCCTCACTGTTAAGAAGACTAAGACAAGTATTATGAACTTATGAAAATAAGAAGCTTTGATGTACCATATTTATTCAAATCAAAGTTGTTTGGATACTTACTCAGAATTAAGGAGTGATAGGAGTGATACAGTAAGACACACCTCGGTTTTAGAGGAAAATAGGAAAAAAAATTTTTGAAGCAAAAAAATGTGGTAAAATATTTAATAACATAAATAACATAATATTTCACCAATGTAAATGTAAACAGAACTCAACAGCAGCATTAACAACCATTATTCCTTCCAAATGAAGGTGGGGTGTGTGTGTCTTATAGTCTGAAAAATACAGTGCATTTCATAAGTTAAGGGTTTGCTCTACACCCAGGCAGTTGTGTTTTTTGAATCATGTTCTGTATTCTTATTGCTACATCTTGCTTGCTTTTACATCCTCTGCACATACTGGACCATGCTGACCACCCAGAGTGACCTTCTGTTCAATCCAAAGAACTTTCCACAGGCTCCTGCCTTACTCAGGAGGAGGAAGAGGAAGAGAACCACTGGCATGGATTAAGGCCCCTAATCAATAGACTTCAGAAGGAAAGGAATACCAGCTTTTCTGCTCTGTTTACTGGGGACGTGGGCATTGTGCCTCAGTCTCACACTTGATTTATGCACATACATACATACCCCAAAATTCATATCACCCACCTCTCTCTACTCTTCCAGGCATGAAAAGCTAGTTGAGTGTCAAATTCTTTTCTGATGAGATGACCAGCTTCTCTTCATCTGATCTCTGGAGCTGAGCAGATGCCCCTAAAATACTTCAAAGTGAGCCGAAGGTCTCTGGTGCCTTTTCAACTCTATCCCTTCTCACCAACCAGCTACCTAGTGACTAGTCTTCTCTCCTGTCACTTCTTAAACTGGAAATATCCATATAAGTAATTACACCTTCCACAAGGGATTAAAATTTTATCTCTCTTTTTGCTCCACCCATCTTTAGACCCAAGGTCCCCACCTGAGT